TTGTAAGAAATGAACTGTTGACAATCATATTTTCGAAAATATCTGTTTTTTGGCGGTAAATCGTCTTTTTGAATTTTTTTACCAATACTGCGAATGCGAATCTCGGACGATGTTTTTCTCCAATTCAACATATGCACTGATTCCAAAGATTATATTTTTATTTCAGTAGTTTGAACTCTTGATATTAAAAATCGCTGAATACGAAAATATTGACCGGTGTTTTGTCAATCTACTCGTTAAAACTGATTTTCTCAATGAAGGAACCAGCAAGAAACAAAAAGGCTACTTATCTTTTGTCTATAGAACATGTAGTGGTTATAATGAGATAAAAAGAATGTCTAGATCTTCAAACCTGAAAATTTTGAATACTTTTGAGGGATAGCGATAGGTATGTCATCGGAGGTCACTCGAGTCAAAGAAAAATAATGCTCCTGTTATAGTTGAATCTCTTCAAACATAACCGTTTTTAGACAAATAAATTTGTTGAATTGCAAAAGGCATCGTCAGAGATTCGCATTCACAGTATTGGAAAAAAATCCAAAAAGACGATTTACCGCCAAAAAGCAGCTATTTTCGAAAATATGATTGTCAACAATTCATTTCTTCCAAACTTCTTTATTGAAATTTTTGAAACCATTTTTCCCTATGTGAAACGGTATGATCTATTCGAGCATGTATTAATATTGCTGAAAAAAACTTTGCTGTAATTTTCAATTGAGGGCATCTTACTAATCGAGAGAAAATTTTACCTTTTCTAAAGCTATGAGCCAAGTTAATTGGTACGTAAAATTCAGCACCGGCTAAAGCTTGTTGCTTTTGTGCATTAATATTATTTAAGGACGGGGGCGCATTTGAACGCATTTTGGCCCTTTTGATTTTCATTACGAAAACTAACTGAATCATACATAAATCGATAGATTATTCACTCCTGATCATTTTCATGCTAAATTCGATGTGTTTCTATGAGATTCTAAGTCTTATCTGGTCTGTCACATGTACCACCCATGAAGTACAATAATATTCTTAGTTTTTCATGAAAGCAACTTTCACAAAATTTCTTTTATATACCATTCGATAGAACTTTTTAAGCTCTACAAAACTAGCTATTTCTAAGAATTTTAACAAGTGGGCCCGTAAGTCAAAAATATCACATAATCAGTTCGGTGTCTATAAAAACAATGTCTGGACTATAATTATATCCTTAGTTGTTCATACAAACAACATTGAACCAAGTTCGTTTATGTACCATTCAATAGAACTTTTCAAGCCCTATAAAACTAGCTATTTCTAAGAATTTTAACAAGTGGGCCCATATCGCAAAAATATCACATAATCAGTTCGGTGTCTATAAAAAAGAGACTTTTGCCTTGGTTTTCAACATCTATAGCAAAGTATATCTCTTCGATGAACAAGTTAATATCTATATCAATTGTTCAAATTATGATCTATGTCAAGCGCTTCACTCAGATGTTCATGACGCAAAGTGTAATATAAATTATAATTATGCTTGTCTTATCTTTCTCGAACATATTGCTGGAATGAAGTATATTGCTTTCCTTATGATTTTCGAGAATTTATTGCTAACGTTAATTTCTAGGGATATTGTTTTCTTGACATGTGACTGTCTTATCACATATTTTTTTTATGCGGACTAGTCAGAAATGCACTCCCCAAGTGTATTTAATATCATAAGTGGTTCGATTGCATATCAGTATTGTGATAAAGTTAGTTTTGTCTGTTCATTGTGAAAACAAGTTGCGTGTGTTGAGCAGAATTTGTGAAATCGATAATCAAAATGCCGCACACGAATCCTACAAAATGTGTTGCTTGCGATCGAAGTATTCGAAGTTCAAGAGTACGCTTTTTGAACACAAATTTTCTGAGGGTTTTTGTGTCGATCGAACAATGTAAACGAGTAACATCTAGCAACGCTATATGCGATGGTTGTCGATCGAAATACTATCGGTGGAAGAAATTGACGATGGGTGACTTTGACCAGTTTGATACCAATGATCCAGATTATTTGGAACCTGATGATGAAGTAGATGAAAATAATGATATGGTAATATTAACATTGTTTGGATACACAATTTGATGTCTTTTCCACAGGTAATAGATGTTTCACCTTCAATTTCAATCGATGAAGAAGATGGACAAATAGATCCGATGGAAAAAAAGGCAACAACGATTAGTTTTCCTGTATATCGTTGTTCGAAATCACACGGGTAAATTATTTTCTGGTTCATGTTACCGTATTTGATATGATGTATTCAGATATTGTATCGTGTGCAAAACGAATAATTCTGAATCGAAATGTGTATTGACAAAAGAACAGCGTACAATGGTTTTTCTAAAACGAGGAATTCTCGTACCTGAAAATACTCGTTGTTGCTCTGTGCACATGTATAAGCGTGAACTTACTTATGAAGCATTGGAAATGATTCAACCTTCAAAACTTGATGATTTGATTTTAAATGGTGATGATGTAAAGAATTTAATGATTGATTTTCGTTTAACTATTAATTCCGCCAAAACGTTCGATTTCGATAATCCGAGCAGTCTCGATGATGATACTTACAAAACAATTACTGGTCTTAGTCGAGGTTGATTAGTTTTTCTATATAGCTTCAGTAACGATAATTTTGTTCTATTTAAGATAATTTTCACGATGTACTTGGCCATTTAACAACTATGAATAATTCTAACGTACGTTCTGTTAGAGTTGCTCTTGCTGTTTTCCTCACTAAGCTGCGACTTGGATTTAGCAATCGCGTCTTAGCTTGTCTTTTTCATCTTAAAAGCAAGCGGACAGTGTCTCGCATATTCCACCAAGTGCGAGAAGCATTAATGAAATATTTTGTACCATTAAATCTCGGTTTTCAACATATTACACGTGATGTAGTTCTTAATTATCATCAAACAGTCATTGCCACTGAACTTCTTACAAATGAACCTGATCAGATTGTTTTAATAGCTGATGGAACGTATCTTTATTGTCAAAAGTCGTCGAACAACGAATTTCAAAGACGTACTTACAGTAACCATAAGCATCGTCATCTCATAAAACCAATGATAATTACCGCGAGCGTGAGTAACATAAAAGTTCGAGGATTAAGAAAGATAAAAAGATCTAACGAATGCTAGAAATGGTAATCATACCAAGGGAGAATCGAGAATGTCATTTTATTCATATTTAATTAAATAAGCGTAAACAAAAAGCATTCTTTCGAAAATCAAGACAAATAAACCGTCTATCTGTAAAATGAAAAATAAAAAATTGAAATAATAAGCGTAATCGATCATAAGCATAAAACTTTTATTTGATAATCAATCGATTATTGAATGAATATAAACAAAAATAATCGAAGAAATTGTGCAAGTAACACTTATTATGACTGGTTTTTTATTTTAGTCTATTCGAAATCGATTAATAATCGATCTTCAATCAAATTCTAATCAAATATAATCATTTTCGTATCATTTTTGCATAATTTTTCTTTTTATGAAAACTAATTACTCGTATAGAATGGCTATATACTCAGTGTACTCGGTCCGTTTTTCGCCAACTCATCAAACAATGATGCGGCAATTTTAAAGCATTGTTTGCTCAATAATGAACAACAGATTTTGAATTGGTTGCGTGACGACGACATCTTAGTATTAGATCGCGGGGTAAATTATCAAAAAAAAAATCAGATATCTCATGTTGTTTTTCTTAGTTTCGCGATGTTGTCAATACACTCACTCGTCTTCGCCTCCAAGTTGCAATGCCAGGTTTTTTACACAATCAAAAGCAGTTTTCACCCGATGAAGCGAACAGAACTCGTTTTGTAACAAAAACTAGATGGGTTGTTGAAAGTGGTAGGTTGCGATATTTAGTGATGATCATGAGCGAAACTGCTCGAATAATCGATGAAAACTTATTTTTCGATTTCTTAATTTCTTAGTAAATGGCAAAATAAAAAACTGGAAGTTCTTCGCGCAAACGCTTCAAAACACATCGCTTCCGTTTGCTGGAAACTGCTTAGATATCGTATGCACTCTCATTAATAAATATTACTGTCCAGCCATCGCAAATATACAAGATGGCCAAGAGATCGCAGCACAAATGCGTGAGATGTGGAAGGCTGAAAATGCATTGGAACAACATCTTCGAGAACTAGATCAAGGAGAAACATTGCGCTGGTCTAAATACAATGCTGCAATGTGTCTTTTCCCGTCGCTTACAGAGGATGATGTGCGTAATCTCACTTTTGGTATGTGCGAATTTGAGTCTTTCGTTGGAATATTTCTTTATTCCAGGGTCATATCAAATCAAAATGGCAAAATCATACATAGTCGATCATCTCCAACAGTCCGATATTAATGAAGAACAACTTGAATTTGTTGTGGAACTATGTGGAGAACATGATGATTTGGTACGAGCCCGATTTCAGTCCCGCCATTCAAACCGCAAGAAATATATAGCTACGGTGAGATTTAATGAGAAAAATGAACAACCTATAACTGGATGGTTCTGTACATGCTCCGTGGGTGGTCGCGAAGTAGGTATGTGCTCTCATATAACAGCATTACTTTGGCATATAGGAGTTGAAAGAGCTATGGTACCTACATCAACTCATCCACTTTCAGCTTCAAAACTATTGACGGCTATCGATGATAGCATGACGTTTTCTGATGATGAATATAACTCTGACAATGATATAAATGATTTGCGTGGAACCATCGGAACAGCCAATGCCACCAACGACACAGAACTGGATTGGTGACGGCAACGGACATAACAATCTTGACTGTATTCCTATTCATATTACCACTATCGTATTTAACTCATTCACTTCATCATACTCGTTAACAAGTTTATCAGAGGCAGCTGATTGAGATTATCAGAAACTACACGAAGCACCTGAGTAGGGACTAAATATCGTTTACCATTTTCATTCAAACAAAATACTATAATCTAACACATGATCGTCAATACACTCCATTCCAGCAATATGTTCGAGAAAGATAAGACAAACATAATTATGATTTATATTACATTTTGAGTCATGAACATCTGAGTGAAGCGCTTGACATAGATCATAATTTGAACAATTGATATAGATATTAACTTGTTCATCGAAGAGATATACTTTGCTATAGATGTTGAAAACCAAGGC